TGGCATACGACAAACTATGATGCGAAATCTTGTATTCAAACGGGCAAGTATCGAATAGAGATCGGAGCTATTTATACAGTTGAAAATTTCCATGACAATTGTTCAATCAACAATGGTATTTTTGGGCTACAAAAGGCGAAAAGTAGCCATAATGGATTTTATCATATGAAACAGATTATGAGCACTGACAAATAAACTAAGCATGGCATCAGTCTTCTAGCATTATGAACATATTTGTTCTAGTTATATTCGTGTACAAAGTTTTTGATGTCTAGGGTATGGACAGTATTTTTCAAAATGTAGTAGCCTATATGTTTTCGACCATCATGATCATAAACATCATAGTTAGAGTTTGAAAAAATATACGTTAGACTAGAATATGCTTTCTTTTGCCACTATAACTGACCATCATCATTATCGACCATCCTTTAACCTTGTGAACGAGTTTAGAATCTAAAGCTTGTAAAGTAAAGTTTTAAAAAGTCGATCTTTCTACATTAATTAAAGGAGAAATGACCGGAAAACCATGCATACTATAACACTTTGCAACATAATCGCGCCCTAAACTAAGAAATAGTATACATGGATCTATGCAGTTTTCCATCACATACTCGAATATGCTCTTGTTTGGTATACGTTTTTTCTGTCACAGTACTACTTAGCAAGCTCTGATTTGTACATAGATTGATAGTTTGAGCTGCCCTTCATCCCATGCAGCCAAAAGTAAAGTTTCAAAGTTGGGTTAAATAAGCATAAATTTGCTTACTCCATTGCGTGATTGTTGGATGAAAAATCCGAGCTCTCTGACATATTGTAAAAAATAAATTCTCTCAAAAAATATAACATAATTAATAGCGATCACGTTCCTTGAGGAGCCGTCAAAAGGATTCGTTCTTTCCTGGTATAACATCATGGAGAAACATCTTTGAACTTCAAAAAAGATGATGCTTTCTTCTTGGAAGTGTTGATGATAAAATTGCATTTCACAAGTTTGCTTACGTTAATCTTTGCCTTTTGTTGAACTACAGTTTTAGAAACTGTGTTGAATTCAGTTCATATCTTGTTTATGTTTAAATGAAATAGAAACATTTACTATTCATACTTTCACACAAAACAAGAAGATTTAATTTATTAAACAAAAATAGATTCCAAAGGAATATCAAACCCACTCGCCAACGAATGGTGAGAAAATTTACAGAATGACCTGGCTTTGTGAGGTATTCTTGATACCTGATATCGCCATATTGATCTGTATTCTGACTTTGCGTATAGAAAAGCAATGGTGAGTAAACGACATAGAGTTCCAATGATTAATAAACTTAAAACAGAGTGTTCATCGTCGTTGTATGAATAATAACGACGTAATTGCTCGATTTGTGTATGCCATAAATTATTTGTGGTGTTGTTATTTTGAATATATTTTTCCATATCAAATATGAACAATTGTCGTTGTACATGTCTTGAATATGATAGATAGACAGCTCCTTTAATAGCATGTGGACCATTTTTTGTTGGATTGAATCCACTAATTAAACATGAAATTAACGCAATTATTGTACCAGCTAGATAAGAATCTTCTGTGCGGTTAAAAAAAACGGACACAAGTTGACCGATACCTGAACATGAAAATGACATTAACAATAAAACAGAATAATATTGATTAAAACTAGCTCGTGGTTGGATTTCAATATGCAATAAAGTTAAAAATAATACTGGATATAAAACAATGTATAGACTACTGACTATGGTTTTTGCTATCCAGTATTGTACAGGATGATAGTAATTACGAGATTCACGAACAAATGTTTGATTTACAATTTCTACCCCAAATAAACGCTGACTAGACACACACGTTGCAGCACCAAATGCCAAACTAATCATAAAATAGATGGATGGCACTACATTAATGTTACACGATTGAGTTTCAATATCAAATAATATTCCCACAATTAAGCCTAATATGAAATAGGATATCGCATAAATCACTTCTGTACAGCAGTTTCGATAACATAGTTGCGTCATAGTACGATATATTAAATACACAATGGGTTTAAATATCACATTTAAGGTTGGACAAGAACATAATGATGATGACAGTGGATTGAGAACAAATTCGTCAGTCGTCTCAACATAATGATTAATGTCTGGATAATGCCGAAGAGTATAGATACATTCATCACATGTGTTTAATAATGGAATTGCATCTGATATATCCATTCTTGATTTTTTTTTTAAAAATGTTAAGGCATCGGTTCTTCTTCCCTGATAAGCTAAATAACATTTTGGCGTAAAGAAGAGAACATGATCAATTTGGTTAAATAATTCTTGACCAGGTTGATGAATAACCATGATGATATTAACGGGACCATCTTGACTATGTTTAATGAGACTTAACAAAGAAAATAGTTTTTCACAAATAAAACTATCCAAACCACTGGTTGGCTCATCGAGTAATAACAATTTAGGACATGCAGCTATTTCCATTGCAATATTGACACGTTTTCGTTGTCCTAAATAAGAAACCAATATGCATTATCGTATGTAACTATTAAATCATGATCTTACCTCCTGATAAATGTTGAATTTGTTCATTTAGTTTTCGATTCATATTTAATTTTCCTAGGATAAAATGAACATCATGTTTAATCGTCAATGGATTAACATTTAAACGCCTTGCTCGAGCCGAATAATAAACCGTTTCGAAGACTGTTAAATCTTGATGTAAAATATCGTCTTGAGGAACGTAACCAACTAGATTCGATAGTCGAGTGTCAAATGGATCATGGTTATTGACTGATATTTGTCCACTCTTCAAACGAGTACGACCTTGTATTACACATAAAAATTGTGTTTTCCCGCATCCAGATTGGCCAAGAATGGCTGTTAACTGACCAGCTTTTATTGTTCCTGTTAATCCCCGATTTTTCGAATCCCATGAAGGTATATCGAGTTGAGCATTTTGAAACTGCACATTAATTTCAATTTTATCTGATGTAGTTTGCTCATGGTCCGTGAAAGGTCGAAAATAGTTGCTAATCATATCATTATCTCTTGTTGATTCGTTACTTGTTTGACGATCAACTACCAATGGTGCATAGCAAACAGTTCGTTTCATTTTGCATATCTCTGTTATAATTCTTTTAATTTTTAACCAGAAACTTAGCAATAGTAGAACAGATATAACAGTTGATAAAACTGTGACAATCAATGTTACTTTCTTTAATAATACCCCGTTCGCGCATATAAAGCCCGGACATTTCAACGGTTCCACTATACCTGCAGGGCAATATTGATTTGTACATGGTATACTAACAGAGGCATTTGGACAGTATGTCTGATTTGGGCAAAACCCTTCGATAACTGATCCACCGCAACCCAGTGTTTCAAATTGTGTGGGTGGCCTATTTAGACATTGAGCATTTGTCTGACAAAATCCTTTTTGTGGTATCAATGGTGATGGACAATAAGCTGCGTAGCGGCATGGAATCATACATATTTGGCCAACAGGACAGAAATGTGCAGGACAGCAAGCACGTGACATTGTTAAGTTAGCGTAGGTCAAGAGAAAAAATCCTGCTTGGCATGAATAATCGAACAGCTGGTAGTCGTGAGATGAACAGTGATGAAAATCATATAAGGTAATTGTAGCATTATTCGAAGATCTGTAAAATTCTTCTATTATTTGCTTGGGACATAGGTGGAGAGCAACAAAAGTTGAATTTTGACATAAATCGTCTTCTACTGAGCAAGCAGAATTATAGGTCCATTCAAACTGATTCACTTTAGGTGCGCATTGCAAACATCGATAAGGCCATCTACTAGAATCATCAGCTGAATAACATTGATGATTTATATAACAGTAGTCGGGCAATATTGTACAATTATTATGTATTGTACTGCAAAGTGAATCACATGTTTGATTCAAGCGTTGATTTTGAGTCGAATCAAGTTGTTGACTGAATTGTGCTAAAAGCAGGAGCAGGAGATAGATGAAACAGATGATATTTGTCATGCTGTCAAAGTGGAGCCTCCATGTCATTCAGTCTTCTTCTCCTAAAAATTCATCAAATATATCTTATTCTGAGTTCAGCTTAATAAGCAGTCTAGATAGTTTCAGTTATCAAACAAAAGGAGGGAAATTCCAAATACTGAGCGCTTTTCATCGTCGGCGCAAAAATACTCAATCGTTATTTGTCAATACTATTTATTTTGTAAGTAATAATACATAGTGATCACCGCATACAATAGCAGACTCAGGGAAACGGATTCTGCAGTACTGCACAGTGCAGTTGTGCTTTGTGACTGAGAGTCATTCTTAAAGTATACCACAATTGTGTTCTTTCTCTCAGTTGTGGACTTAAAATATCTTTCCGGATTTTCATTGTTTTCATGCGTGGTAATCCGTTTTTCAAGAACATTCACTTCAGAAGCAAACACCAATTTTCGAGTGTACGCACAAAGCAGTTGCCTGAATAACCTTACACTATTCTTAATTAAAATTAACACTATTCTCCTCGCAATAACCAGAATCATTCAACTCATCCGCGAAGGATAAAATATAATGAGCCATCACTCACATAAGGGTACCCCTCCCCTCTTTTTGGGCTTTCCGTAGAAATGCTGTGAAATAAAAACTAAAAGTCGCTAGGGCTTCGTATTTTCAGAAATGATCGGAAACTCAATGGAACACTTTTTCGTTCTTGTTTCAAGTTTTCAAGTGTTGTAGTTCACCAGTTTTTCAGAAAACTCGGTTTTTCATTGTGCCACATTACGACCCCCTTAAATTTCATTCGATCGCGTTCAAAATTTTACCAAACGTACTTAAGGTCATTCCGCAGAGCTATTTTTTGGAATTTTATTTTAGACTTTTCTTTATCGAGTCATAGGGTTTCCAAAATTGAAAAACTTGGTTTTTGAGACGAAACACAGTTATCTGGTGAGATTGTTTTCATCGGGTCGGGTCGGGTCGGGTCGGGTTCGGGTTAAGTTGTTGTCGGGTCGGGTCGGGTTCGGGTTAGGTTTTCTTAACCCGTACAGGTCTCTAATTGAAACCAAAACAGAAATAGAAATAAACAAAATAGTAGAAGAATACACGTACAGAGAACTGATCAGCTGCTTGATTCATGTACAAATGTAAACTGAATCACTCGAGAAAAAAAGGAACTACTTAGGTATATTTGACCATTAGAATGTGTCAACCGATTACTGTCTTGTTACTTGCTCTATATAAAAAAAGTGACAGCGTGTAATATGACAACAACAACCACTCAACCTAAAGCTAGTGGACAGCTTTCTTATGATGATTTTGATAAATATATTGATTCATTAAGTGTGGAATTTCGAGAAAAAACTATAATAAAAAAGAAAGTTTTATAAAGATATTGTACAAGCATTACCATTAGAAAAAGGTAAGACGTCTCGTTCATTTTCTCCAAAATTTGGTTTTGGGGCGAAACAAAATTTTTTGTTGTTGAAAATAGTGGGTATCGATATTGTATGTTGTGTGAAAACAAAAAACCTGACTGTATTTGTGAATCTTTCCTCAACGTAATAAGCGAATGTCATGTCTCGGTTTCTCACGGAGATCGCGATAAAACTCTTTGTGAACTGAATCTTCATTATTCGTGGGTTCTTCGTAGAGATCTGCACGGGCAAGGATTTTTGTCCGTGCCCGTAACTCCACTGAGGGTGCTTGTCCGTACCCGTCCGTGATTTTTTTTCACTGCTTGTGCTCGTCTGTAAATTTTTTGTAGAAGAGGAAGGGCGTTTTTCCCAACTGATTGCATATTCTAGTCCTTGTATGAAAAAAAATTCTCGTCCATGAGTGTATATTAGCTTATGAAGTTGATTTTAGAAAGTTAATTTTCTTTGAAAAGTCCGTGCCCGTCGAAGGGAAACAGTTGCTCGTGTGTGCCTTTTTCGAGTCTGCCCGTGCCCATCCATGATTCCACCTCACCCTCACTCATCCGTGCCCGTGCAGATCTCTAGTTCTTCGTTCAGCGGTTGATATTTTTTAAAACATTGTGCACCTTGTTAAGTTGGAAAATCAATCAAGCAACCCATAGTCTTCAAACCAAGAATATCCTTAGGTCCTATGACACGGTTACAGATCGATTTAGTTTACATGCGTATTAGATCAGATAAAATTGCATCAGATGTTGTTTTTAAGTGGATTTTAAATTGTATCGATCACTTAGTAAATTTTGCTAGGCTTTTCCGTTGAAACGTAAATCGGCCGTGGATGTTGCTGTTACGTTAAGAGAATTATTTTTTGGTTTTCGTCACCACGATTGCTTCACAGTATATTAAATACAATTGAAAACACGTTAAGTAAAGGCATTTTACAATTTTTGCGAGCTTTCGATACTAATCTAGTATCATCATCAGGCGTTTAGTGAGAATGTAATTGATGAAACTATAGATGAAGAAAACAAGATAAACAACAGATTAAAGCAACTATTAAAAGATAAGAAAATTGATCAAAAACTGTATACTAAACTATTTGTTAGTGGCTGTACAATACCGTATGTATACTGTATAGTCAGAGTACACAAAGCGAATTATCCGCTTAGACCGATAATATCTACTTGTAATGCCCCCTGTTACAAGTTATCCAAGTATTTAGCCGAATTGTTGAGACTATGTGATAATGATTCAAAATCATTTCTGAAGGACTCGTTTGAATTAGTTAAATTGAAATAGAGAAAGGCGGGTATAAATGAGATTATGGCTAGTTTTGATGTAGAATAATTATATCCAAGTGTACCAGTGGGAGAAGCAATAGATAGTGGGAGAACAAAATATGGTCACAGAATAAAAAGAAAAAGTTCATGAAATTGACAAAAAGTGAATTATATATTTTGTTCAATTTAGCATCGAGAAATGTTCAATTTCGTTTCTATCACCTAATTTATAGACAAGATGATGGTGTTTCAATGGGTAGTCCATTGGCACCAGTACTAGCAAATTTGCTTATAGAAAAACTTGAAAATGAACACATATTAATACCGGGTAACGATCGAATAATAAAAACATGGATTAGATATGTGGATGACATTTTTGTTATATTAAATGGTGATGAAAATGATGCTTTACTTTTACTTGATACCGTTAACCAACTTCATAAGCAAATAAAATTTACACTTGAAATAGAGAAAGATGGTGTGTTAGCATTTTTAGACGTGCTGATAATGAAACAAAATGACATATATGAAACGACCGTATATCGGAAGAAAACCAACACTAACTTGTACATGAAATGGGATTCTATTTCACCACGTTATCAAAAAATTGCCCTAATTAAATCGTTAGTTACTAGAGCTCTTCGAATATGTTCAAATCAACAATTATTAGATATCGAGTTAGCATGGCTAAAACCAGTCTTGAATGAGAACGGATATCCAAAAGCTCTTATAGAGAAGATAATTGAACTAACAATGAAAAAGAACACGGAGAAGGATAGTCAAAAAAAGTCTCTAATGGACACCAGTCAGGAGACTAAAACTGATGCAAACATTTCCTTTTATTATCTATTATCTAGGAAACGAATCACGTAAATTCATCTCTAGTCTCAAACGACTGTTAGACAAAGTTGGTATACGTAATATTCGTTTCGGATTTAGAAAACATAAAACAATCGGTAATTCACTTTCACAGAAATATAAAGACAAAGATTAGCGGAAAGTTGGAGTAGTGTATAGTATTAGTTGTAATGATTGTGAAAACGTTTATGTAGGACAAACCGGTAATGAAGTAACGTTAAGAATGGAACAGCATAAAAGGAAAATTGTACAACAAGATATGGATGCAAAAATGCTGTACGTGCCACACAAAATAATCATAAATTGAATTTGAAAGAACCGACAGTTATGGCTTATGAAAGAAACGCAATAAAACGGCAGATAAAAGAAGCACTTTTAACAGATATACACAGAGAATTGGACTTCAGCAGATCAATGTTAATTAGAAACCTTTTGTGGTCTACTAGTATTAAAAGAAAGTATTCTATTCATCTAAAGTCTGATTGATAGTGAAAGACAGAAAAGTTAAGACAGAAATTCTTTTCTATTTCATAGTTTAATTTCCACAAAAATTAGCATTCTTTTTAAAAATATTATGTGAACTTTTACGCAAAGAAAAACAACACCACAATTAAGTGATTTAATCTTAATCACTGTACAAACAGCTCTTCTTGACTATTAAAACAAAAACAAATGTCTAAATAGTAAATCTGAAATTAAAATATCTACAACCGATCATCTTTGAAGTAAAAATGTTGAACATGAAGAGTGGTAGCGAAAGAATTGAAATATCTACTTTTTTTAATGATGACAAAAGTATAGCTATGAAGGTCTCTATTTACGCCGCACAAAAGATAAATGATAAATTGAAATGTGTTTCACAAAAACATGCAAGATGGAAAACTCGTGATATTTTTTTTGCTGCACAAAGTGTTATCATTTCATCGGCTTAGAACTTTAACATATCTCTTGACTTCTCCTAACTTTTCTTATTTTTTTAAGATCTTTTTTATTCAAGCTAAATTTGAGTTAAACGTCTAACTTAGTTCTTATTTAAGTCACACTTAAGTAATGCATAAATTGTTTCTTGTAACAGGCTGAAGCTTATCTTAGTTTAAGACGTGCTATGTCGAACTTAAATTTGCCTTCTTTTGCGTAAAACATACTCCTGTTTAATAAGTTCTAGCCCTATTCTTCCTGATCGTCAGTATTTATGTAAGGAATTATATTTTGCTGTGTGTATTTTTCAAACGGAATTAATACACCTTCTATCTCATTCACATCAGCAATATTCAACAGTCGTTTATTCGTATTTTTGGTTGAAAAAGTGAATGATGGCGATACTGTATGCGGATTTTTAGTAGCACGTGCTACTGGAGAAGAAAATGATTTTGGTCCAAAATAGAGACGTATATCAGGTGGAAATGTCGTTGAAGTGGAAGGTATAGCTATCGGATCAAAAGCGGAAGACTGTCGAAACTGATTTTGTTGTATAAGCAAACTGGACTTGTTTAGCGGAAACTGATAGCGTGTACAAGATGGAGGTGATGATGGTAATGGCATTAGTGTTTGTGATATTCCAAGATCAATACCGGAACCGGAAACGAATGCATTACTAATAGCTGAAAAACAAGCCCATGTTTGTCCTTGCCTAGAGACAGGCAGAGTTGCTAAACGAGATATAACATCGGCTATCAAATGGCCACATAATGTTACTGAAGGAGCACTTCGCTGAGGTGACAGTAACGACAATGACGTTGGTAGTAGAGAAATACTATTTGGATTACTGTGTCAGAGAATGTAGTTTGTGTTGGCAGTATAGAGTTTGCTGATTGTTATTGTTGCTCATCTGTGCCAATCGTTTGGACGCTTGGATCTAATAGTTGAGCAGAGTTAGTATCTTCATTCGCCCTTTATTGAAGAATTTAAATTCAATAACAGCATCTATACTATAGTGGAAAATTGCATTCACATTGTTTCATATTTGTTTCATTTACCCGATTTTAATATTTTACACTGTATCATGAACTGATCTCAGAATCTCTGATTCAATCAGAGATTCTGAGATCAGTTCATGATAGTTGAATGCTATCAAATGCTGGAGTTGGAACATAACGCCTTACACCAGAACTTTGGCAGATAAAGGGCTCGCAAATGGCGATATTTTACTCACTTCAGTAAGATGAAACGAGTTACGACCATTTCTGCTCATATACAAACAGTTATTTAACTATTATTTATCTGGTAAAAGAATTTCTGTTAAACTCGCCACAAGATAGATAAGCGTTTCAAGCTATTCATGGTATATTCCACCACGAACATACTTTGTTGAACGGCGACTGTCTATGTGCAGCTTATCTGACTATGATTTGTGCTAGTTTGTTTCTTGAAATTCTAAAATAAACAGCTCTTTTTTTCTTGTTCGGTATAACTATGTTCATAAAAACAGTCTGTACTTTTTGAATACTAAACAGAAAAGATTTCAAAGACGGGTCTAGTAGTAACTATTCGAAAAATATCCAGTGCAAAGTCAGCCTCGATCTCGTCAAAATCAACAAGATATGTTTACATTTTCAGGCTGCTCGACCACTTATTTTCAAATATGTCACACTATGGTTTTTCGTTTTTTTCTTCTTGCTGTTCTGCCATTTTGTCAGTTGGAGAACAAAATGCGAGAACACAGCTTTATCTTTCCTCTTTTCTGCGAAGAAAAATGTGATAAATGTGAAGCAAATGCCAATAGAGATATATCTTACATATATGTATATCTCTATCCGAATGCTATAGGCCCAATATAAGTTCACAACACCTTTTCCATTCAAATTAAAGAACAAAAAAAATGTTAAAATTCATTTACCTAAAGCAATAGTTAGAACACCATTAACTCCACGCAGCCTTGTGGTTGTGGATGACGTGGACGATCTTGCACAAAACACATTTGTAGAGACAACCTTTTCAGTTCAATAATGAAATTAGCAACAAATTCTTTGCCATTATCGCTATGCAGCAAACGTAGAGGACCAAATACAAAAAATCATTCTCTTAATTTAACAGCAACATCCAATCGATTTATTTTTCACCGGAAAAGCCCAACTAAATTTAGAAAACTGATCGGTGCAACTCAAAATCTAAGTATAAATAATATCTGCTGTTATTGCGGCTGGACGTGTTCTTCAATCAATAAGATCATCGATCACATCTAAAGAAACCATCAGTTTGCTAACTACATGTGTTTAACTGGTTTCGAATTTGACAAGCGACTTAACGCTTTTAGAACAGATCAACAGGAACATGTATCCAAGGATAACGTGATTGAATTTCATCAAACGTTTTATCGCATCCTCCATGAGAAACAACTACATGACATTCACTAATCACTGTAAAAAATGCTTCATAAACATAAACAAGGTTTTTACCTTTGCACAACACAATATACTATCTGTACTCCAGCAGTTCTAATCAAAACAAAATTATTTCGAGCCAAAAAATAAATGTTGCTAAAAATAAGTCAGATTTCTTACCTCTTTCTAATAATAATGCTTTTGAAATATCATCACGAGTTTTTTTTAGTACAAATTTTGCACGATATTTACTATTTAATGAATTAATATAGTTTTCAAGTTCCTCATAGAGAGGCTTTTCGAAATCAATATTGACTGGACCAGTAGTTACTGAAGAATATAACATTACTTTTGTTTATGAACAAGTGAAAATATTTTCATCGAACAACCCACATTATATATACGTCTCTCTCGATTATAGAATATTTTATAGAAAAAAGAAAAAAGAAGAAGCTTGCCACATTACAACGAATTTCATAATATATAGTGCACAATTTACGACCTTGTTACATTCTTCACTATTCTATTTCTTCTGTTTTCTATGTGGAGGATTATTTGTTGCCAAAGTAAACTCAATTCAGTTCAGTTCTCTCATCTTGTATACAGACATTGCCCACATGCGCAACACACTGGACAGAAACAAAAAAAAGAATGCATCTGTCATGCACTAAAAGCGTGAGTCTAATTAAAGTTTAAAAGAACTAATTTTGTTGATTAATAGCCTTGATCATCATATCAGTGGAAAATTTTCAATTATGAATAAGCGATATTCTAGAAGACAACTTCTTCAATACAGTTGCCTTACCACTGATATACAAAAAGCCAGTTAATAAGAAATGTTAAGCAGCATTTATGAGAGACACAATGCTTTTAAATCTAAAGGACGCCGGACGGTTTCTGCAAGGAAATGGCCCTGTGTATTTTTGAGAACCACTGGAGTTGATTAGGAACCGTTTCGTTATTTAGTTTTTAATATTTCTTAGCCTTAAAACTTAATTGTAGACTGTCATATCCTGAAATGTTAATCATTTCTAAGCATCGGCTATTCGATCATATTTATTCATTTTTCTCTGTGAGTTCGATGTTCTCAATAAAATCTTATATAAGGAAAAACGCGCAATTAAACTGGCTTTAAAGGGATGTATAACTTATTCTTTTTTTGCACGCCATAAATGTAACCCTTATCGAATATATAAATTGTGTATAATTTTGTCAGCGCACTCAGACCCGGAATGGTTTATACACATAATTATAATTATTAAAAGGGCTACAAAATGAACTGTAACACATTGTTTCAAATCCTAATTTTGTTAGGCTTATGGGCTCGACTACCTATAGCCCATTAGCTTTTGGCCCGAAAGCGATTTAACAGTTGGGAACGTTCCCTCGAAGAGTTACGAGAGTTTTGCTCGAAGCCCTAAAACATGCATTAGATACTGGCGCCACCATATCTCGAAAGCGACATTCACCTTAACACCATTTCGTAGTTCCAAGGTTTCTCGGTAATATAACATCGCAGAGAGCTCGGGAAAGTCTTAAACTGAAGCTGATACATGTGGCTAGAGGCTAATGGAGTCCGAGTTTTGATATTCGGTCTAGGTTTGTGATTAGAAAAGCTTCTTTACCAAAATTAATGCGACTTGTTTTTTGTGTTCTGACTGTCTATGACGCTAAATTATCTCATTTCAGCTGAAAAAATTCAAAAAAGTCGATATTTTCTGTATCGGTATATACCGAAGTTCGGTATTTTTGGTATGAATACCGATACCGGTGCATACCTGGCCGTACCACGCAAGAAATGTTTGCAAAGCTTGGATAAATGTTATTTCCTGTAATAAGGTCTAATAAAAAAAACGCAGAGGCTCAACTAGAACGACGGATCACATGTCAAGAAGACTTTCAATAGAAAAATAATTAACTTAATACTACGGAACTTAAACAAAACATACTTCAAAGAACAAGATGTGTTGTTCGTTCTCACAACAAATGGGAACATATTCTAGCTTACGCTTTATTCAGTGATGTGTTAAGCAACTTTGCATGAGAGCCAATAAGCATATTTCTGAAAAGCTTATTTATAGTTTATTCTGAAGTGCAGAAAAATTCTCTAGCTGTCTATGTATAAGCGATGGTCAAGGAGTTTCAATTGTTTACATGTGATGCAATCCTTGATCTGTCACATACAAATTTAATTCCAGCGCAGTATTTCAAATGAACTCTGACGCATTACATATCAAAATTTGATGTTTTTTTCTAGAGAAAAGGCCTTCAGGATTTTTACATATTCGGAATCAGCACGACGAGTTACGTTGTACGGCGCAAAGATCTCGTCCGGGTACCCGCGTTTTTTGGACTCGGATTCTCCACTGTGGGTTTTCACGGTATATTACACTATATTCAACGGTAGACATCAAAGATTCCGCTTTTCTACTGTTCTCTTTTATGTCATTTTTCTTTCCTTTGATGCTTTTTTCTTTCTATGTACACTATAGAGAGAGATATACAGCAAGAAATGGAGAAAAGAACAAATTTTATCGTTTTATCCAAAAGAAAGTTTGCACTCACTATGAAATTAGCGTTTATTCTCGCAACTTCCCAAATTAAAAAGTTAACAAATTTGGAGGTACCCCTCTCCAGTTTTTGTGGCAGTTTGAAGTACACAGCTTGTACTGTATGCCAAGCTACTTTTTAGAAAAAGGTACCGTTTAGTTTTTGTGTTATAAGACTGCCCATATCACAGCTAAATGCATGAAAAAGTAGGTAT